AAGGCCCTTGGCCTTAAAGGGTGTTATTTCGAACTTATCGAAATAACAGTCCGTCATCGTTCGATCGAGGTAGAAACCTTCTCTTTTTTGGCGAAAGCCCTTGGCCTTAAAGGGTGTTATTTCGAACTTATCAAAATAACAGTCCGTCATCGTTCGATCGCGGTCGAACCCTTCTCTTTTTGGCGAAAGCCCTTGGCCTTAAAGGGTGTTATTTCAAACTTAACCGAAATAACAGCCTGTCGTCGTTCGATCGAGGTCGAACCCTTCTCTTTTTTGGCGAAGGCCCTTTGCCTTAAAGGGTGTTATTTCGAACTTATCAAAATAACAACCCGTCGTCGTTCGATCAAGGTCGAACCTTCTTTTTTTTGGCAAAGGCATTTGGCCTTTAATGATGTTATTTTGAACTTACCGAAATAACAGCCCGTAATTATTCGATCGAAGTCAAACCCTTCTCTTTTTTGGCAAAGGCCCTTGGCCTTAAAGGGTGTTATTTTGAACTTATCAAAATAACAACCCGTCGTCGTTCGATCGAGGTCGAATCCTTCTCTTTTTTGGCGAAGGCCCTTGGCCTTAGAGGGTGTTATTTCGAACTTAATCGAAATAACAGCCCGTCATCGTTCGATCGAGGTTGAACCCTTCTCTTTTTTGGTAAATGCCCTTGGCCTTAAAGGGTGTTATTTCGAACTTATCGAAATAACAGCCCATCGTCAGTCCTGGTTTCTGGAGAGTTGGACATCTTCCGTGGGAGTCCCAGTTTGTTTGGCATTGCTTGCACCAGATGGTGCAACGCTGGTGAATACGAGGTGTTGATGTTTTGCTTAGGTTCGTGCTCTGTACGCATTATAGTTTTCTTGTCTGGCTCTTGCTGTCCATCTCGGAGATGTTGCCGGCTGGAGGTATTTCAGCTGTGTTGAAGCCATTTTTCCCTTCGATCGAGGTGTTCCTGTGTACGTTCGCCCACGCGGGTCTTATGTGCTTGCATTGACAAAGAGTGGGAGGTGAGGATGAGATTTTCTTCGCTCCCGCTTGGTGTACCGGTGGGGGAAAACAGGTTGGTATCATCGTTTGCCTTGTTTAGTGTATCGATGGTTAATGGGGCGAAGATTTCCGAGCCCGATGATTTTGCTTGGCTTATCTTCCTCTTCTACGCTGCTCCTGTGTGTCTCGCGTGGGTTGGGTTTTTCCTCCGCGCTCCTTTTGGTGAGTGATTGTATTTCTTGGTTTCGATCTGGGAGAAACTAGGAAATTTTCACTCAAAAATCCCCACAAACGGCGCCAAATTGTTTGACTCAAAAGATATTAAAACCTTTTTGAACAAATCAATCAAAGATGAAGGGGTAAATCTTAGTCAAATATAATTAATTCCAGATCGAAATGTTAACAACAACGATTGCATATGTGATGAAAGAGATATGATTGATCTTATGAAGATTCGACATTGCCTTCCTCATCAATTGATGAAGAAGTAGATTTACATATTTTCTTCGAGGTCATTTCTTTTTTTTTTCTAGAATACAAGAAGGGAGATTTTTGTCTTTCTTTTTTCGAAATCGGAGAGGCCCCCTCAGTTGAGAGTTTTCCCTGGCTATATATAGTCAGGGTATCCTTCCCTTTGCTTGATTCGCCGTCTTTTTGCCACTGATGTGCCTTGGTCATGATTTTAGGCGTCACTCTTACCGATTCGTCAGATGTTATGGAGGAGAAATGGAGTGGGCTCTGTGGACCTTTACTGCCCAGAGACGGGGTGTCGGTCGGCTTGGTCGTGATGGTCAGATTTTGACCAATATAAAAATAAAAATACAAATTTGTCACTTATTCTGAACCAGAGAGAGTATTAGCTTGTTCGAGAGGAACATTAATGACTTTTAACAACAAATCAACTCATCAATTTGGATATGACAAACAAGAATTGAGATAAATGTAACAACAAATCAACTCATCAATTTGGATATGCTTTTAAGGTTGTGATGGTAACTTTTGCTATGCGGCTCAATGATGTTCGTTCAGCGCCCACGCCAACTTGCCAAACCTAGAAAGCAGTAAATTTGTGAAAAGAAGATATAAATTTGTGAAAAGAAGATATAGTCCAATGACATTGACTGCTAGCCAATTCAAGGGAATGACAACGTGTTGGAGAAGTTTGATAAATTGTAATTTCCCTTACAGAAAATCTGAGACAGGATAGGAAAAAGATATTGTACTCATTGTTGCTGAGGACTTTTGAATATGGTGATTGGCTGGTGTTTTTTTTTCCATTAATAAATGCTAACTTGATTCAATTTTAGCATAAAATTGGATATATTTTTTTAAATATAATCATTTGGTATTGAAATATTGAACTAATTCAGATTCTGCACATTTAATTTAAAACCTGTGGAAGGAGGAAGCATTTCCTACAAGAGATTTCACTGTCCCCGAAACTTGAATTCGAGCAGGGATTCCATCTGTCCATTCACATCCTTAAAAATTGGGATTATTGTTGTAAATTCGAACCATATTTTTTTTCCAACTTGTATATATACAAGTGTTTTAAAAAGCGTTTTCGGGGCGAGCCTTGGGGCATAGCGCACCAAAAATATCCCGAGGCGATGATGTGGGGCGAAAGTTTCAAGAGGCGTACGCCCAACAATTCGGGGTGTACGCCCGGACGTTCGGGACGTACGCCTGAGCGTTTGAGGCGCATTTTTGTAGTGAGAATAAGCCCCAGATACTTTTTCAAATTAAAATAAAATTTGTTGAATAAGTCGTTCATATATAATAACCAAATTTTCAAAAGTCAGCTTGTAATTACTCAAAAGTTTTTTAAAAAAATTGAAATGTATTAAATTTAATAATCAAGACCTTTTTTTTATTGATCGAAACTTTAATTTATGGTCTTTCCCAATTCTTTATCTTGTCCGCTAGTCTGCTAATATATCCCAAAACAACGAATATTCATATTTTTTTTTACTAATACAAAGAGAATTCCATTCTCCTTAGCATCAAGTTCAAAGTTCAAATTGCAAGTTAGTCATCCTTTTTGTTCTTTTATGTAGAAAACTTTATTATTTTTGACTCAAGTTACTTGTGCTTGTACTAATAGATTGTTTTGACTACTTTTTTGTGGGATGGAGCGCGCGCGACACACACACACATATAGACAAATTTATAATTTTCTTCAATTCTTTTGCAATTCTACCTGTTTATAAATATTTACTATAATTATATTATTTATAAAATTATAAAAATTAAATACCCATAGGGCTTATGCTTCGCTGCTGAGATATATGTAAAACGTCTCGCCTTACGCCCACAACACCGATATATACATGTAAAACATAGAAATCTAATGGAGGGATCTCCTGGACTACGTACACACTATATATTCCTCTAATTTTTAACTAATTAGTAATTAATAATCTGCAATAAATGGAAGCATTGTGCCATTGGTCAAAGCATTAATAATAACAGCGAGCCATCATTTATAAGATTGCACTTGCAGCAATTTCTTCTCCTACTATATATTTTCCATGACATCCAACTTTTTTCCTGTTCGAAAAGCAAAAATGTTAGCAGTCATTTCCGCCCTGTGATCCATTCTCCCCTGTTTCTTACTATAATCTCAAGTCTCAAAATGCTAGTAGATCCCGACAAGTATCCATCGTTTTGCAAGCTATTATTTAGACAAGGTTTCATGGATAAAATAGTAAGTCTATAGTTAGTTTCCTGTTACTATTTTTTTTTTTATGCTATGTTGACGTCTACTTCCTCCTCCAATCTAAGTTTGATAATTTATGTTTCAGCTAATGCCGCCTGTTTTCATCAAAGAAAACAAGAAGAAGTTGGCCAAGACTTGCTTACTGAAAACGGACATAGCAGCAGGGATGTCGTGGGAAGCAAAGATAGTGAAGGAGAATTCTCATTTCTTCATATGTGACGGAGAGTGGCCAAAGTTTGTGGCGCATCACAAACTAAAGTTAGGGGACATTTTGCTCTTTTTTCTAGTTGATAAATCAACGTTTCATATACTTCCCTACGGTCAGAAAACTTGTAAAAACCTTTGCAGGAGACAACTATTTGAGGAACTCAGCAGTTCCTCTGAAGAGGAAGAGGAATGTGACGTGGGAATCCGACTGTCAAGAAAATCTAAGAAAGTTAAAACGGAGCCAAAAGAATTGCCAGGTAATATTTTATGCGTTTGGGATATATTTATTTGTTTTCAGTTTGTCTGTAGATGCATGAGAGTAGATGCAGATTTAATTACGAGCACACCACAAGAAAACACATGAGTCATGCAGGTCATATTGACTAATAATTAGATTAAGTGCTAATTAATGTTAAGCATAAGTTAAAAGTATTATAAGTCTAGCTAGACACTTGTATATTGTCGTCGTAAGTGTAATATGTTAGACGCGCATGATATCCTTATAAAATTTGCCATAAGAAAACAAGTTAATGTAATAATTTGTGTCATATATATATATATGTACAGCAAAATGGATATGAAGAATTCAAATAACCTATTGAAAGGCACTTTGAGACGTACGTAGTTGAATTTGATTTATTGATTTATCTATATATAAGTGCATGAGAATGTTGTAAATACTAAACTCGGGCGAGAAAGACAGGTGTTGCAGAGGAGGAAGCTCAGAATCGAAGTAAAGAAAATGGTCCAAAAACACTTAGATACAGTGTGGTGAACTTGAAAAATAAAAATCCATACTATGAAATGGCTGTAAGAAAGACACACTCGCTTTTTGTGGTAAGGTTGAACATCTCTGTCTTTTATTTTCTTTGATTATTATTTTCTCAGTCCTCCCCCTTATAAAGAAATGAAAACATGTGTTTGATGATATTATGTTTAGACTATCCCAATGACCTTCGCAAGATGGAGTGGCATAATTAAGATGAAGAAAATAACACTGATTAATGGAGAAGGGAAGAAGTGGAAAGTGGATATAGAGCATATCGGCCCAAGGGTTCTCATAAAAGGAGGATGGGCTGCCTTCAGAACACAAAACAAGATAGCTGCCAATGGTGAAACTTGTCGCTTCAAGTTGATTCAGGGCCGTAGACGTGGGCGTGGACGAAGTTGTTATGTTTTACAGGTTGAAAAGATCTCCAAACCTTGAAGTAGCTCGTATATGTAGTTGGTTTCTTTTGGTTGCATTTTGGCCTTCTCTTTGTAGTAATTAATGGGCATCTTTTTTCCTTATATTTAAGATTTTGTTTACTATACGTGTTAGTAATGCTTGATAGAACTTGATTTATCCAGTACGTCTAGGGATGGCAGGCATGGTTAATGCTGCTTGGTCGGTCGGGGCTGGACCGGGCCCGCGGTCCTAACGGGCCTAGTGGGCCGGTCCTGGTGGTCCTGAGAAGCCTGTGACAGGCCGGTCTTCATAGGTTAGCCCACGAGCCCGGGACCGTCAGCCGGGCCTGGGCCGGGCCTAGCGGGCCCAACGACATTTTTTTTTGTTTTTAAAATTCTCCAACGGCCATATTTAAAATCTAGCCGTTTGGGCTGACA